AGAGAGAGAGTAACGCAGTGATGGAGCAAGCCCACGCAAGCCATGCCACTGCAAGCACACACAGCGTGGGAAGCGAGAGAGAGCTGCGGTGTGCTGCAGACCTCGATCTAGCCCGATACATAGCAACACACACGCGTAATGTCAAGCGCACGAGAAAATGCCTTTCAATTGACAAAAAATACGAAATAATCCAGAGTGTTGACAAAAAGCAAGCTCCACTGGCAGAGGTTTGTAATCAGTTCGACATTCCACAAGGGTCGATTCACACCATTATCAAGGATAGAGAGAAGATAGTGGCAGCATACTCCAATGGAAAGTTTGCTCTGGAGTGAAAGAAGATGAGACTACCCGATGCAGATGCTGTGGACCAAGCTCTTCTGATGTGAGGAGGCAATGGAGAAAGTTGGTGCCAAAACCCCTGTCCGTGGGTACTTGTTGGCAAGGGGAACTACCCATGAATAAGTACGGATGGATTAGTCCACAAATGCTCACTTTCCTTGCATTTCTGATTTAACAGGGATCGAATATAACAGGACATTTTCTCTACTCCCACCATCCCTGTTATATCAGGTTTCCACTGTAGATACATTACATGTTCTGGTTCAATTTATACAATGTATTTGCAAGAAATGATAAAAGAAATGTTAAGCTTGAAGAAAAAGGCACCTGTTAATTATCTACAAATTTGACCCCTGTGCCGATTTTTGTCCCATATCTCCATCCATGGACTGCGAGAAATAACTCATTTTGTCAGAATGCTTCACATATATTATCTCCCCCAGGTGATCCTAGCCGTGATCTATATATTACCTCCCCCAGGTGATCCTAGCCGTGATCTATATATTACCTCCCCCAGGTGATCCTAGCCGTGATCTATATATTACCTCCCCCAGGTGATCCTAGCCGTGATCTATATATTACCTCCCCCAGGTGATCCTAGCCGTGATCGTGTCCTGGGGCCTGTGTGCCATCCTCACCGTGTGTGACGTCGCCCCCGCGGCCATCAGAACCGACCAGAAACGCCAGGCTGTGGAGACCGCCTCCTGGTTCTTCTGGCCCTACCCAGGTACGAGCTACAATAACTTCTGTAGTTACGGTACATTTATTGTTGAAAAATCTCGAGACTATAAGTATTCTCACTGTGCGTTTAAAATGTATAATTATGTTTGTAGATAATAATTATGTTCTCGATTATTTTACAGATGAACATGCTAACTTATACTATGAATTCAGGAACTGGTTTTTTTTCACAACTCATGGCGCTCATATGACCTTATGCAGTTGCGAGCGCCGTAAAACCCTCTACTATTTAATTATTTTTCACAACTCAGTAATGTCGCCTCGAATAAGAAGTTTTGTTAATACATGTATATGTTCGTCTTGTGGGAAAGTTTTTGTGTGTCTCCTCATTTCCAGGACCCTCTACAATTCGCACATCGTCACGGGAGAAGTGTGGACGACGCCATTCTACTATTTTTTGACAACATAATATATAGACACGTGTAAAGTTACCTGGTGGTCCTATCGAGTCTTGGTCTTTCAGAGGACCCCCGTTCAGGATCGATGTACGTTGTTGTTCTCTCGTCCTGTGCTCAACTGACTCTCAGTACTCTAAGACGTCCTCGGCCTAATTGGCGCCCCGCCTCCAAGGAGCTTAGAACTACCTAAAAAACACCAAGGAGTGTGTTTGGGTTTTTTGTTGTTGTTGTTTTTTTGGGTGGTTTTTTTGTTGTTGTTTTGTGTGGGGGTGGTGTTTGTTTGCTTTTGTTAACATTAAAGGTGTTGGGCGCCCCGATGGTTCCATTGGATACTGGACTAGGGAGCGAATGGTCCTAGTTCGAATCTCTGACTGGCTGCTGACTTGAAGTTGGGTCGTTTTGTGGAATTTTCAAGATCAAGGCTCGCAACACATTTGGTTCGTCGATCTTATCGGAGACGTACGTTAAAAATGGAGGTCTCGCCTCCCTAATTTTAATAGTGTTGAAAGGGACGTTAAACCGATAAACTGCTATAAATGATCACTTTTAAACACGAGGGGGCTATCCCAAAAAATGCTGTTTTGAGAAAATCGACGGTAAAGTTTTTGCCCTTTAAAAGACAAAGAGAGTTTTCTCTATAACCAAACAAATATACACACCAATGAAACCAAATTTCTCCTATAGGTACGGCAAAGCCCACGACTTTTGGCGTAGGTCAAGATTTCTGCAAACCCCCGGAATCTGGGGTAGACCGCTTGTCCTTTAAAGAGACCAATTTTCTCCCCTCCTCAGGACAATGGGGTATGCCTACAGTCAGCGTCGCGGGCTTTGTGGCAATGTTGGCCGTCACCCTCGCCTCCATGATCGAGTCTGTCGGAGACTACTACGCATGCGCCAGGATCTCTGAGGTGCCCCCTCCACCCGCCCACGCCGTGAATAGGGGCGTCACCATGGAAGGCTTCAGCAGTCTTCTGTCAGGTCTTATCGGCTCTGGGGGCGCAACTACCTCCTACAGTCAGAATGTGGGCACCATAGGGTTAACCAGGGTGAGTGGTTATGGGTTAACAAGGTTGAGTTATTCTGGGTTAACGAGGGTGAGCTTTTGTTGGTTATATATATATATATATATTATGTGGGTTATCAAGGAGGAGGTTTTGTTCTTCTTGTGTACGAGTTATATAATGGTGAGATTTTGTAGGTCATCATAACCAGTTTTTGTCCTCCTTTTACGTGTATGTGGGTTATAAGGCGTGACTTCGTGTGAGTCATCAGGGGTTGGTTCTTGTTCTTATGTGAGTCATCAAGGGTTAGTTTTTGTCCATATCTGGGTCATCAAGGGGTAGTTTTTGTCCATATCTGGGTCATCAAGGGTTAGTTTTTGTTCTTATGTAGGTCATCAAGGGTTAGATTTTGTCCTTATCTGGGTCATCAAGGGTTAGTTTTTGTCCTTATGTGGGTCATCAATGGTTAGTTTTGGTTTTTATGTAGGTCATCAAGGGTTAGTTTTTGTTCTTATGTAGGTCATCAAGGGTTAGTTTTTGTTCTATGTAGGTCATCAAGGGTTAGTTTCTGTTCTTATGTAGGTCATCAAGGGTTAGTTTCTGTTCTTATGTGGGTCATCAAGGCGCTTTTTTTCTTATCTAGATCATCAAGTTCGAGGATTAGTTTTTGTTCTGATCTGTTGGTTAACAATCTTTGACACTTAATAATACCTAATTGCGTTTTTGCAAGTGCTTTAAAACGCTTACTAAAACACACACAACATTCCTCTCGTGGTCGGTCAGGTGGCGAGCAGATCTGTCATGATAACGGCTGGCTTCATCTTCCTGATCGGAGGTGTGATCGGCAAGTTTGGCGCCTTTCTCGTCTCCATGCCAGACCCGGTGTTGGGTGGCGTGGTTCTGGTCAGTTTCGGACTGGTCACTTCTGTGGGGCTGTCCACTCTGAGCTTCGTGGACCTGTCGTCGTCCCGGAACTTGACCATCATCGGAACCTCTCTATTGATGGGGCTCATGGTGCCACGGTTTCTGGAGGGAAATCCGAACGCGATCAAAACAGGTAGGGACTACATGTGGGTGGTTGGCATGTGCTCTGGTGTGGTTTGCTTTTTCTTTCCTATCGAACATCTATCGTCCTTATCTCCCCTTCTTCTTTTTTATGCGTGTTACTTTCTTGTAACACCTCTAACCTTCTGGCGCCCTAAAACCCCTACTCAAGCTAAGAGACAACGTGTAATGCTGTCCCAGCGGTTTTATGCAACAACAACAAATTTTGAAATTATGCAAACTGAGCCCAAAAATGTGAAATTATGCGATTCTGTTAATTTTAACAAAGAATGATAAAGGAAAACAATAAGAAATTGTCCCAAAAAAAGATCAAATTTTGCTAAATTATGCGGGGTGCATAAAACCACGGGGACAGATATTGTGAAAGGTGAGTTGGTTGGTGATGGTGATAGGCGTGGATAGGAAGGTGTTTATGTGAGGTAATGAGTGTGTATGTAAGAGTTTGGGTGGGGAACGGGAGAGGGAAAGAGAGGGAGAGAGATGGAGAGAGGAGGGAGAAATGCCATCATCATCATCATCATCATCATCATCATCATCATCATCATCATCATCATCATTATCATCACCATCATCATCATCAGCACCATCATCACCACCATCATCATCATCATCATCATCATCATCATCATCATCATCATCATCATCATCATCATCATCATCACCATCACCGAAGTGTTTTGAAGTGTTGGTATTTCATCATGTTTACTAAATTAATTAGTCATCATTCCAACAACAACACCAATGACAACAACAACAACAACAACAACAACAGCAACAATTTCAACAACAACAACACTAATAGCATCAACAACAGCAACAACAATTACAACAACAACAACAACAACAATAACAGCACTAACAACATCAACAACAACAACAACAACAACAACAACAACAACAACAACAACAACAACAACATCACCACCACCACTATCACCACAACATCAACACCACCACAACAACAGCAAAAACAAAAACAACAACAACAGTAGTGTTTCCCTCCCTCCCCCTCCCTCCTCCTCCCTCTCTCCCTCCCTCTCTCCTCTCTCTCTCTCTCTCTCTCTCTCCCCCCTCCTCCTCCCTCCCTCCCCCCTCCCCCCTCCCTCCCTCCTTCAGGAAATGAGGACGTCGACCGTGTAATCACCGTGCTCCTGGGTACCTCCATGTTTGTGGGCGGGGTCATCGCCTTTGTTCTGGACAACACTGTGCCAGGTGAGGTTTAAAACCCATCTTATCCTTCTTAATCAAGCGGGGTTTTTTGCGTGAGTGTTTTGTTATTTTTGTGTGGGGTTTTTTGTGTGTTTTTTTTGGGGGGAGGGGTTGGGGGGTTGTTTTGGTTTGGGGTTGTTGTTTTTTTTGGGGGGGTGGTGCAGTAAGTTTGTTTTCCTTGCCCATCCATAAATGGTCGCCTTTAAGGACAAGCGAGCTAACCCAGATTTCGGGGTTTCCAGGAATCTTGACCTACTCCAAAAGTAGGCCTTGCCATACCTATAGGAGTAGTTTGGTTTCATTGGTGTGTATATTTGTTTGCTTATTATTGAGAAAACGCTCCTATTCCTTGTCTTTAAAAGAAATTGAACAAGGGGCAAAAACTTTACCTTCGATTTTCTCAAAATAGCATTTGTCGGGATAGCCCCCTTGTGCTTAAAAGCGATCTGGAAATAGTAGAGGCAGCTGTCGCACACACACGACAAAGCACGAAACGAAACGGACCTAGTCCTTAATAAAATATGAAATTACTAAAAGTAGAATGAAATGTACGAGAGCTTCGATGTACAAGAAAAATCATCAAAATTGAAAAACAAAACGAAAGTTTCCGAACTTTGAAAACATGCCCACGTAACCCTTTGTGACAATGTGTACGGTAACTGAATCCTATTTTTGTAGATTTTATGGGCATCTGTATACACACACGGGCTTAGCTCCATTATAATAAGATAATTATTTTTGTTATTATTTGTTCTCATCAAGGAACCATGACGGAGCGAGGTCTTCTGAAGTGGCGCCAAGTCTCCGGCACGCTCTCAGGAGCAGACGTCGACAAGAGCAGACGACACAGTGACGTCACCGGCGACAAAGACTCCCCGCCACCGTCAGACAAACACGACCACAACGACCACAACAACGACAACGACAACGACAACGACGACGACAAGCAGCAGGCACTAGCAGACGAGAACCTCCACTACGCTGGCGGCATCTACAACCTCCCTTTCATCACCCCGCTCATCCGGAGAGTCCACTGTTTCCGGTTCTGGCCCATCTCGCCGACCTTCCTATACGGAAACGTTAGCTGTGGGGGCTGTTGTGGCGGGAGGAGGAAGGAGAAGAGTCGGGTGGTTTGAAATGTCTGAATCCCGTCAGCTTTTCATTAAAAGAATAAGATATGTATTTAATTAATTAGATCTAGTAGTAGTACTTTGTGTATTATTATATTTTAATGAGATGTATGCAATGGGATAAAGATCTGACATACATGTACCTCATGTATAAAGTTTTTGATCCAAAATCGATTATTTTGAAGCATTTCCCCAACAATTCACCCAAAGTTAATGTAAGCATAATCTATGTAATTCTTTCCTGAAAAAAGGAAAGTCCCATTTTTCTCCAAAGTACTCAGGACGGACTATAGACTTTTCTCGTTGTTCTGGACCAATAAGGATAAGTGTCAATTCCATAGTACATAAGAACACCATTGGTTCTTTTTTTAGACATGCACTTTTTAAGCGAAAGCGCTAATGAATTGCACAGAGAGGGAACAAGAGATCTTTACCTTTCAAAGGTCTGTAAACATCTTACAACTAGTAAATGCTCATCTCATCTTCAGAAATATAACTGGCAAAAAAGAATCCATTGCCTGTGTCATTCGATGCAAAGGTTATCCTTGTCATCCTGCTGCAACCCCCCCCCCCCTCCCTTCCTTCCTCCTTCTCTCTCTCTCTCTCTCCTTTCTCTCTCTCTCTCTCTCTCTCTCTCTCTCTCTCCTCCCTCTCTCTCTCTCTCTCTCTCTCTCTCTCTCTCTCTCTCTCTCTCTCTCTCTCTCTCTCTCTCCTCTCTCTCTCTCTCTCTCTCTCTCTCTCTCTCTCTCTCTCTCTCTCTCTCTCACACACACACACACACACACACACACACACACACACACACACCTACGATACAAGCGAGCGCGATAGAAGAAAGGGCATTGGTTGTTGATTTTTTATTTATTGTTTTGTTTATGCATGTACATAATAATAATGTTGTTGTTTTTTTTGTGTTTGTTTTTTGGTACAATTGAAATTATCAAAACCTTGAGTGTCTCGAATGCTGCGCTATATATCTTTAGAAGTATCTAACTGACTTTACAGGAATCACAGGAAAAAATACTGAAAAGCATGAAAATAAATGAAGACTAAAGGGGAAAAACGACTGTAGTCACAAGCTGAAAATCGTGAGGGTACCAATTTTCAACGCGTGCTGATTATTGTTGTTAGATTTCCTGTTCAACAACACTTAATAATAAACCACCAGTCAAACAAATATGAAGTTATGAGTCCACAAGCTTTTAAAATTGTCACCCTCACAATTTCCATTCGTGACCACAGTCGTTTTTCCCCTGTGCTCTTCAAATGTGCAGTTGGTTCTAATTTGCTCGGGTGAGCCGGTTAGACTATCGTCTGCATGGACATTGTATGATGCATCTTTTTTTTTTAATCTGTAATAAACATGTTTGTACCAATGTTTGTGGCTAAATTTTGTTTTGTTTGTTTGTTTTTACTTAAAATTCGACTGGGCATAATAATTATAAATCATTAGATTAACAATTTGCAAGACAGGGCTCTTGGTCCTGTGCAAGGACTCCTGAACGGTACGGGAACATTTGCAGAAGAAACAAGACATATTCTGATTTCACTCCATGAGAGTTGATGAATGGGCCAAGACCAATTAATTATAAGAGATATGATTAGAATACTTGAGCTCAGGGGTGAAGGCTGGCTTGTTGGAACTTGTAATCAAAGTGACAGAACTGGATAGAAATGAGGCCACACACAAAAACATGGGTGGTTGGCGGGTGCTTTGGTGCGGTTTGCTCCTTCTTTCCTATAAAAAAAAAATCCATCGTCTCTATCCCCCCCTTCTTCTTTTTGTGTTTGTTACTCTCTTTTCTAACACCTCTAATATTCGGCACTTATATGACTTTTGTGTGTTGCAAGTGCCGTAAAACTCTTACTTTAAAAAAAGAGAATTTACCCCCCCCCCCTTAAAAAGGGGGAGGGGGGGTGGGGGTGCATTTCAGAAGAACTGGGGAGTTCATAGAAAAACTTTTTTTTTAGGGTGGGACGGGGGGGGGGGGGTGGTAATTTAAAAAATGTACCGTAGGAGGATAGATGATGTATAGGAAAGAAAAAGCAAATCACACCAGAGCACCCATACCAACCTCCCACATTCTCTCCTTTTGAGCACGACTCATCCCTACTACTGAAGAAAACATTGTTTTGTTTTTTATTGGGGGGGGGGGGTCTCCAACAACCTTTGGAAGAACAATAATGATAGGTTTGGGGATGTTTTTGGCTGCTGCAGAGACCCCCGATTTGTAGTGATCGTGGTAAGGGAGCCATACAAGCTAGTATAAGGCTAGTTTTGTTCGAGTAAAAAAAAAACACAGCTCATTTATCTGTTTCTCAGTGCCCACATTCTTTTGAATGGCACTTCTTAGAGACAGTGACAAACATTTTTTTTTTTTTTCAAAAAATCTTCAGGCCCTTTTATCCAACAATTTTGCTCAATATACTTAATTCTACTTGGGCCCGATAATTTAAACATACCCCTTTAGGTGCATATAAAAGATATTTATAGTGAATTATTTACAATAATCTACCAAGAAATTGCTCATTTTGAGACCAAAAAAAAACTTATAGAGGTAGATCTACCCAGGTTTTGCACCTTTCAAGAGCCCAAGTACCACCCACAGAATAATAAGGCCATTTTAGGGGGCTCTCGTGGCCTAGAGGTTAAGGTGTTGGCCTCTCATTCAAAGGTCCCGGGTTCGAATCCGGGTAGCGACCGAAAAAATTTCTTCTCTAAAATTGTCTCCTTTCACCTCCTTTCCAGCTCTCTAGCAATATTCTGTTGTCTGGTTTCATTTCCACTTTCTGCCCCCACCCCCTCACCTCCTTTGTCCCCTCCTCTGGGCTCCTGACTCTTTCTGCAGCCTTTCTACTGCTACTCCTTGGCTCCTCCTTACTGCTGTCTTTCTGCCACACCCCTGATCTTCTGGTAGGAAAGATCTACACCTAGCCTTCTCGGACAAGGGCGAAAAATCTCGGAGGGGCCGTGTGCAAGTTGCGCACGTTAAAGATCCCTTGGTGGTCTAAAATCGATAAGAGTAGGCTTCGGCCGCCACCCGGGCAAAATTCAAAAATTTCCTACCAACTGAAAATATTAGGTGTGTCCCGTGCGCTCATATGACCTATGCAGTTGCGAGCGCCGTAAAATACTTTACAAAAACAAACAAGGCCATTTTATTATATAACATCTTTGCTGACATAATGACATCAAAACATTTAATCTTTTGTGCAGGAAGTCTGAAAACGATTCCAGCCAATCGTATTAGGAAACAGCTGGAAGCGCGGGTAGCGTTCGTTATGCAAGAAAATTTTCACGTAACACAGAGCTAAATTGGGAATTTACTCAAAATAGAAACCTTACGGATTCCGATATTTTTCAATGGTTTTGCAGAGTTGTGGCCTACTCACTGTGTTTAGAAAAAAATGCCCTTGTATTAGGAGCACACTATCATTAGACCTACGGCTAGCCTCTTCTTTTATAAAATCATTTCATTAGTAATGTATATCGCAGCCTCACATTAGGTTTGAATTTTTTATCGGAGAAGATTTTAGATCTGGAGATAGGCTGCTCAAGATGTGCGCATTAAATTGATAGGGCCTATATATTTGTTTTGCTTTTAAGATATTATCTTGGCTCAAAGCTTGAGTGAGTTTTTAAATAATCTAAGCCAGACTTAATCTTTGTTCATTGCTTTTTTTTTTTTTTTTTTTACTTTTTGAGAGTGATAAAATAGTAAAAGAAATATATCTATCGAGCCTAATGGCCGCTCGCTTAGGAGGCTTGCCGTTACTGGCAGCGTTTCAAAATGAGCCAAGTTCGAACGTGAACTGAATTCCCATTCGGAGCAAAGTGCTGTGTGTGAAATGCTATGCACGTTACGGGGTTTGTTTACATCGCGTTGTTTTCGCTGTGTTTACCATCAAAGGTTACCAGTGGCCCTTGCTTTCAGATCTGGGCATAAATTTAATCAACGAGTGGGTTTTTGCAGAATTGAACTCAAGCAAGCATTTCTGCATGAAGTAAGTTAGATGTAGATTCTAGCTCCGAAATGCATTGTTGAGACGAGTGATGAACTGATGAACCAATGCTGGTCGGCAGCGATAGAGATCTTTCTCTCGAACTCTAGATTCGAGGCCTTCTCAACTCGACTAGACTAGGCCTGTTACTCGTCTCTTGCCTCGGCATACTCTGGCACTCGACCAAAGTTCAATCCAGCTTTCCTAGTAGGCCTACTCACTCAAGATCTATCTAGAATCTAGATCTAAATCTAGATCTAGCAGTCTCTACTCCTCTCCACTCTTCTCTTATCTACTTCACTCTCCATTTCTAGATTACTTGATGTAAATGTAATCTAGGCTAGATTCTAGATCTACATTTAATCTAGAGAGATCTAGATCTAGATCTAGATTTAGATCTAGAATCTAGGCCTTAGAGCTCTTCTTGGGAGGAATTTCTTGACGAGCGACCGCTATGAAATAGATAGAGGCCAATAAAGGGTCAGGCTAGGGGCACTTGGGTACGTGGTGGCCTTTACGGTGGGTCGGGCCGATCGCTCGACTCAGTCGCCTGAAAAAAAAAACACGTTTGTTTCTGAGGCGACCGAGTCGGGCGATCCCATCCGTAGTGGGCACCCTGTATAAGTAGATGACACCACATGTGCAGACACGGACATTGGAAAATTATAGAACAGAAAACGAAACTAAACACAAAATAGCATTTTATAATTCCAAGTGCTGCACCATAGGTCTCAATGGTATGTACAATACAAGTACATGTGGTCGCTTTTAAGGGGAGGGGGGGGG